GACATAGGATGCACAGAGAGAGAGAGAGAGAGAGAGAGAGAGAGAGAGAGATCAGAGGTCTTTGGTTAATTGAGAGTAAAGTGAGTTATGAGTGGTGGGTCAGTGGTTTTGATGGCACCATAATGTGATGAACTGTGTTCTATATCGGGGGAAAAAAGCTAGAAGAATGTCCTGACTTGCTACGAAGGAAAGAGTCCTCTGGTTGAGCTTTTTGGCTCCACCTTCCAACAGGGAAATGGGTTTTCACACTCATAGGACCAATTTCCCCAGTCCCCCTCAATGTGAATAAATTTGAATTGTTTAGCCCAATCATATGGTGATTAATTCACATTTCTGGCCTGAGCATTTCTTTGTGGGCCATGGAGCACTTCCTTGCTCTGGACAACAAGCCCTGGAGTGTACATGGTACATCACATCATTGGGGGACAGCCATATGCTTTTCTCTTGCCCCCACGGGGCACACAGGTTCAAACGCAACCTGCCTCAATCATAAGAACTTTAATTGAGTAGATAAAGAGGTCTCTATAATTATAAACTGCAGTAGGTATAACAAGAGGCTAAATACATAGCTGTGGTTTTAATTAGCTGGTGCTTCAAATTAGTAATTTTGGTTTCAGTCAGAAATCGGGGATGTTCTGCACTGTGAAAGCCTCATCACTGTGGAGTTCATTCCCCATTACACCTCGCCCTGTGAAGCTTTCAATACAACGCCATGCTGAGCGAAGGAGGAAGAAGTTGGAACGATTTGGTTGCCTTCCAAAAGTGGTGATACTCTATGGAGATTCAATTCATTCTTGCCAGAGATAGGAGAATTAACTATTCTTTGGTATATGTGTTAAAAAACGCAGCAGGCACTTTGCTTGCAAGAGATAACACCCATGTGCACACTCAATCTCCTATTCACATTTTGTCTGGAATTTGGTAGCTAATGAACTGATGCAAAATGGAGCCAGGAGCCTCCCTCACAAATCAAACCCAGGTTGAAAGCGCCCAGAGTGCCCTGGCTGCTGGCCGCTCAGTGTTGCGCAAGTGGAAATATGTTTCCTTTTCTTCTCCTCATCCTTCTCTTCCTTCAGGGTTTTAATTATATCTTTCCCTCAGAGAAGAAGGAAGATAGTTTGCAAAGCCAAGAGACCAAAGCACCTCAGTTCTCTTCATGGAAGAACTGAATGTGATCTATGGGCCTGTCATTCCCGGCTGTCAGATGCACTGAATGAACAGATAGCTAGAAAGCTGACATCTTGCTCACATTTTTCGGAAGCATGAGATTTGGGCTCTTGTTTTTGTGTGAAGAGTCAACTGCTGTGGCAGGCGAAGAAATGAAGTGTCTTCCTTTGCAACAGAACTTCCTGGCTTGCCCCCCACTAAATACTGCTTTAACTTGGTGCAACTCCACCCCTGATGCTCCCCCTCTCTTTCTTACATTTGGACACACTGATGATGGGCTTGGGAGATGCATGGCCCATGCGTCGTGCTCAAGTCTGATCTCATGCTCCATGTGCACGTTCTGAAGATGTGACTCTGTCTGCTTGATCACACCTCATCCTCCAACACAAAGACATTGCGACCCATGGCAACCGGGTAGGGTTCCGATCTCAACTCATGACCAATGAGGAGAGATGTTGCCAACAAGTGTCACCCCTTGGATGGTGTCTGAGACTCCGAAGGACAGACTGCCTTCCAGGATCTGGACTTGTCATCTTTCTTGACCAGACGGGGCCCATATGTGGGGTCTGGGCTTGGTGTAGTGCTGTCAACCTCCTTTGTTTTCCCCAGATGGTGATGACATTCACTGAGCCCCCTCGTGCCTGGCCTAGCAAGCTCCTCTGTGTCTGGCATTGTTTGTATTGTGAAAGTATAACATACGTCTGAGCATTCTTTAAATGTGGCCACTTTTTTTTAAATCGGAGGAATGAAGTGTTGTTGATTCAGAAGATAAGGCTATCAAAGTCACTTTGAATCTGTCAGTTCAAAGATTCCTGTGGAGAAAGGGGGTGATTAAGTGTAGTGGCAACTCACACTCCACGTATATAAATATCTAGTTAAGCATGGCTATTTCATGCTCTGGGCTCTTATTTTATAAATTAAAAGTTATGATACTCATGAGCAAACTAGACGACCAAGGGTAGGCATTAAGGTCTGGGATATATTCAAAACCTGTCGACTCTACTCTTCTATCAGTTTATCTCTTGTAATTCCTTTAGCTATTATGTTCATTTGCATGCCAATTATCTAATTAAGTCTTAACATGGCAGTATTAACATGGGGAAGGAAAGCAACATTTGTACACCACCTGTTAGGCATTTTACGTATGTTTGTATGATTTAGTATGTATGATTTAGTTTGTATGATTTGTATGATTTGTATGATTTACATGTGTTCACTTCAGGTAAGATTTTGATCAAAGGCAGGGGAGAGAAAACCCAATGGACAAAATAAAATCCACCACTTTTGAGACTTATAGGTTATGGGGTAATAGGCACATTCTTGCCTAATTCTTCATTGGGAATCATTTCATACTAGAAAATCCCAGGGCCTGGAGTATATCTTAGATATTGTCTGGAAGCTTCTGTACTGATTCTCCAATGGGAAAACCTAAAACATGACGAGTCACAGAGCTATACAGCATTTATAAAACACGTGTGCCTTGAGGTCATCCAAGGCTTTTGATACCTTTTGTTGTTAGCTGTTTGCCATTCAAGCCAGACACTTTCTTTGTGAAGAGTTTCCTAAAGAGGCTGTCAGTATCCTATGATACAACTATGAGAAGGGAAAAGACACGCCCACCACAAAAAAGGAGTGTGAGCAAATAAGTGGTTCGGTGTTTTGTAGACTTCCAAAAATGCCCGTAAACTCCCCTATGATTTCGTTACAACAGGCTAACTCTGGCTGTGGGCTCAGGACAGAATTACAGGTGGCCTGTGACATATTGGTTAATTCCTTTCCCTTAGGACTCCATGACGTCTGGGAATTCTGAGCCCTAAGCAGTTGGTAACACAAAGCAACTTGAATTCAGTACTTTTTTGCAAGTGGACTTTCAGGGAGCCGTTAATTGCCTGTGGTACTCAAGTAGGGACAAGAGAAGAGGATTCTGGAACACTCACATGGGCATGAGTATGGTTGCTAATAAGCATGTTTTCCATGTTCTTCTATATTCCAAAGAACTGGATCTTAAACCCTTTGGGAGTCAAGAAAATGTTTCTCCACTCCCCATGCAGTATATCCATTTGGGTAGCCTTGGATTGTATTGTTTTTCTTCTTATTGATAACAAGAGAGATCTGAATGACACGACTAATTAATCTTTTTCTTCTTTTGTCTTTTTCTTTTCCTATCAGTCACTATGAACAAGACCGTAGTGCACTTAAAAAAAGGGAGTGGGAGCGGAGGAATCAAGAAGTCCAGCAAGAAGATGATCTCTTTTCTTCAGGCTTTGATCTTTTTGGGGAGCCCTACAAGGTAACTGAATATGTATGTAATTTATCTTTCTGGAAAATGGTTGTTTGTTAAGTTTTTGAACATACTAATCAACATTTAATCTATTTTTAAAGCACCCAAATCATTTCCAGGAGAATATATTTGACACATAAAATCTATAAACACATTGTATTTGGGGCAACTGCAGCTTTCTGAAGAAGTCTTCAGAGGCAAATTCTGTCCTCAGATTTCAACAGGACTAGTGAGACTTCCTGTTTCCGAGAAGTTCTGTCTCGCTCAGCACTTCCTACAGCAAACAGTGCTCCCTTGATGCTTTTCCCCACCTTGGCTATTGACAAGGCAGCCCCTGAAGACTTCATCAGAAAGTCAATGGTTGTGTCTTTCTCCTCCCGATCAGTGCCATCTGTTGCAAGCGAGGCCACTGTTTTCCTTTCCCGTGTTAGGTTGTTAGTAGCTGTGGAGTGGTTTGAGTGCTCTTTGAAAATCCTTGTTCTAGGATAAAGGGAAAAGCTGATCACTTTTTCCTGGTGGTTAATCATTCTGGATGAGAAGATTGCCTCAACCAAGGATGGGGTGCCCTGGGCAAGGGGGTGGCATAGCCAGGTGGCTTACCTAGCATAGCCACTAACACTCCTGCTGCTCTGTCTACAACTACTGATTTCACGATGACTGCCTCTGAACTTTCTATTCAGGGTGGGGCTTGGGGGAGGAAGAATCTGGTGGAATAGCTGGCAGCTGGTTGGTGTTTATTGAAATTTAGTAGCAGTGTAATTTTCCATAATGAAACAAAATGATGTAAGAGTTAAAACAACAATAGAGGGAAATTTCTGAGAGTCATGCTTTTAGAAGGGCACCAATTAGGGGACAATGACTTCTGGGAAAGGAAAGGACAGCATTGGCACAAATACCACTTTGGGGTATAGAGTAAGCTGTTGGGCTCAGTGACCACTGAGAGCAGAGTCTTACTGCCTTGTTCACGATAAGTGAGCAGCTCTTGACTGAGACTCAGGTGCCTTTTGAGTTCAGGAAGTCTGACAGAGAGAGTTAGGTTACCTAAACTGCTACTTTCCAATTTGTCAATAATAGTATAATCCTTAAAAAAGCATTTCTCCTATCTCAATTGATTTAATTTACATACTGCCTTTGAACATGTGTATTTTTTTAAGATTTTACTTATTTGTTTGACAGAGAGAGATCACAAGTAGGCAGAGAGGCAACAGAGAGAGATCACAAGTAGGCAGAGAGGCAACAGAGAGAGATCACAAGTAGGCAGAGAGGCAATCAGAGAGAGAGAGAGTAAGGGGGAAACAGGCTCCCCGCTGAGCAGAGCCTGATGCGGGGCTGGATCCCAGGACCCTGAGATCATGACCTGAGTTGAAGGCAGAGGCTTAACCCACCGAGCCACCCAGGTACCCCTGAACATGTGTATTTAAGGATATGATGAGTTTAGTGAACATTTGTTGAAGGCCCACTACATGCTAGTCACATCTTAGACAAATGCACAAAGAGGAGTAAGATATCATGAGCGATGGAAGGTAAGAGTGCAGAGCAGCTGCCACAGAGGTAGGCAGGCAAGAGGTTAGTGGAGACTTGGTACCTCATGCCAAGGAGACTGGACACAATTCTATACATGAAGAGAAGTCACCGCACAGTTTCAAGTAAGGGCATGGCCAGGACAGACAAAGAATTTTGAAGATGATGTTGGCAGTGTGGTGAGTTGGTTGGAGGTGAGGCAAAGGAGAAGTCAGATAAAGAAGATTTTGTAGTTAGCTAAGGGGAATTCATGGCAGAGAGGATTTAAGACAGCAGAGGGACAGTGACATGATGAGATTAGATGTCTGACTGGCTGTGGAAAATGTGAGGAGTAAATGATTCCCCTATTTCTGACTTGAGAAGATGGCAGTCTCATTAACGGGTTGTTCAGGAGGAAACAGTGTTGGTGCTTGCAAAGAAAAAGAAAATTAATTCTGTTTTGAGCACAGTTGGTTTGAGATGCTGGTGGGATATGAAGAGAGACCTACTGGTAGGCATTGGGTGTAGGGATCTGGAGATAATGAGAGTGCTCAAGAGAGAGAGTTAGATGTGAGCAGGGAGGTGGTCATGGAAGCTGTCAGATGACTGAATAAGGAGGACAAAGAGAGAGTCTTGGGGAGGAGCAGCATTTAAGGAGTAAAAGAGGTGGCAACGTAGACACCAGGAAAGGAATCTAAAAAAGAGTGAATGATCACAGAGGTAGGAAGAGAACTAGGAGAATCATTTAATAGAAATCAAAGGGATATAGGGTTTTATGGAGGAGGGATTTGTTAGTTATTTGTGTCTGGGAGGGCAGCAGGAAAGGTCAGCACTGGAAAGTGGCTGTTGGATTTGGTAGTTGGGGGGTGGGGGGATCAATGACCTTAGGAAGAGTTGTTTTATTTTGTTGATGGTGGTGCTCATTGTGGGAAGTGAACTGCCTGGGCTCAGGGAGTAAATGGGAAGCGGTAAAACAAAGAAAGGCGATAACTTTTTGTGTGGAGGGAGGAAGAAAGGAAGGTAGGTTAGAACCTGAGGGGAGAAATTTTATGGAAAGAGGCTCTTTTTTCATAATGGGAAAAATGTGAACATGTTCAAAGATTGATGGGAAAGACCAGACGTCAGTCAAAAGGGAGAGGGTAAAGGGACAGGAGGAAGAGGTGACGGTGAGTGGAGCAGGGTCCCAGAGGAGATGAGCAGGCACAAAGTCAAGAGTGTGTGAAGAGTGACTAGCCATGGCAAGACATTGTGGCCTTCATTTTTTCCAGAAAATGGAAGAGAGGTCAAAGGATGATAGGTGCCTTATCCCTTCTTAAGAAAGGAATAACCAGATGAGTTTTATGTCTTAACTTTGGTTGAGTTAGAAAAAGGAGGTTTACTCAAAGAGTCATTCTTAAAGTTTGAAGTCTATTCCATGCTCAATGTTATTAATATGATGAGGTGTAGAGCCCTTGGTTTATCCCCTCTTTATAACTTAAATCATGTTGAATTAATGGTCTTGTACCTTTAAGGTAAATGCCATCTCTTACTAAAAAGGACTGTAATATAGATACATATTTATTTTTAGATGTCAGCAGTGTGTTTTTGAGTAGGCAGTTTAAAAAAAAAAACTGTCATCAACATGGCCAGAGTTTTCAGAAGTCATCTGTCTTGCTATGACAAGAGTGCATCAGGTAGAGATGCTAGGAGGGAACATTCATCTAGCTCAGGGCCAGGCCTATTGTGTGATTAGTAGCCTGTTGCCTTTCTGTTTCTCAACAGGTGAGAGAGGTTGTGATTCAGTTGAGACTGTATAGGAGAGGAATTGAGCTAACAGTTGGTGACCTAGTGATTCTGTTTCTTTCACCATTGCTTTGATGATCAGCCACCATCTTGTACTGTGTCCATGTTCAGGATTCCCTGAAAAATCACTAGAGGGTTTGCTTTCCCTTCCCCCTCCCCTAGATGATGATACTAGAACTGATGTTCCCCTCCATCAGCTCCCTAGACCTGGACTGGTGTGGACACCCTTGGGGTATCTGGACATGCCAGTAGCAGTGGAAGTGTTAGAGCTGGTCCATGGTCCATTGGTAGAGACAAGGAAATACCTCGACCCTTCCTTAGGGTTGTGGTAGGAATACTTATCAAATTAAAAATCAAAACTCCTGGTGGTGGATCAGGACTTTCAGGCAATTTCTTGCCACCCTAAAACCTAAAACATGACCTATTAAGTTATCCAGTAGTGTTGGTAGCTTGTGAAGTAGCCAATAAGCATCAGTCCCTAAGACCCACTGCCTTTCTCAGCAGTTAGAATAAATGGTGATCTCTCATCATCCTGGCTGATTTCTTTCCTTTTTTTGCTTCACCCCTACCATTCCCAGAATGGAAAAGATGTTGACCACCCCTACATTCGGTTGGTGATGGGGAACTTCTCCATGGGGCTGCTTCTATTGCGTATAACTTTCAAATCTGACTTTGTGCTATGGTGTTGAGAAGGATGCCTTCAAAAGCACTTGAAGAACCTGAAGCTATTTGACATGTCTAGGCCAGTGTGGAAAGACTGGGAAGGCTGAGGAACTGGTGTGTAGCAAGTGGCTGCTATCTGCCAGACACATGCTAGGGCTTTACATGGGCCTGTTTAGTCCTTCCAACAACTGGAGTACTCGTTTTCCTTGTGTGGCCCACAAGGAATCTGAGGCTCAGAGAGGAGAAGTGGCTTCTCTACAGCTTCATATCTGTGCCAGCAGTGAATCTAGAACCCAGTTATGTGGTTCATTACCTGTAACAGGAAGCTGTTGATCTTCCCACAGGAGGTGAGAAGACCTGATAAGCTTACCTACCTCCTGTGTGACTTTGGTGAAGAAAGTTCATTCCTCTGACTTATAGTTTCCTCCTCTCTGAAGTGAATAATAATACCTGATATGAAGTAATCCCTGATAATAATAATAAGCAACAACCACAGCTGACATTGTATAGCTCTTTCCACTCTATGAGAATGAGGAAAGTGAGGCACAGAGAGATTAAGTGGCTTATCCAAGGTCATTTTTATTGGGGAGGTAGAAGCCAGACTGAGATCAGAGCTGCTCTCCTGACTCATGTAATTGTTGTAAGGATCAAATCAAATGAACCGGGGACCTTGCTTTGAAATCTGGAAAGTGCTGTACAAGTTCAAGATGTTAATGTTATTATAATTAAAGAAAGAAATAGCAACTTACATCTTAGAGAGATTAACTATAAAAATATTACAATTAGGAAAAAAGGAATTACTAAATCATATACATTAGCTACAGTGAAATAAAGGGGAAAAATGAGCCTCAAAACCTAAATTATTTTGCTACTTTTTATTAAAAGAAATACGATGGTACAATTGCCTCCTAGTACATTAATCTTGCAATGAACTTCTACTACTGATTTGTAGATAGCATTAGAAGCAAACTGAGGCAACTTTGCATTTCTTAGAATAATGAGGCAGAAAGCTTCAATGTGAAGGAGTGTTGTTAGTCATGGGCCACAAACCAGACATATAATTTATGCCTGAAAATACTTGGAAAATGCATTTCCTTGATGATGGAGAAATTGTGATTATTTAGAAAATAAGAGCTGCAGAGGTTACCTTTAAGAATCAACCAATGATCTAGAATGGGAAGTAAAGAACTGGCCAATGGAAAGAAGCCTACAATTGAAAGAAATGGCCAACTTTCATTTTTGCCATTTTTATAATGTCCAATCAAAACTGCCAAGAATACCTTGCTCCTTAATAGGATTACTAAGAATCCAGAAAGAACATTCAGTGCAAATCAAGTCTCTGTGGTCTGTAGTCATCCCCATTGTGTAGGGGCATAGAAATGCGTTTCAGGCCCCACTGGGTTTTCTATCCAGTGGCTCTCCTATCTACATCTAGAGTAATTTAAAAAACTTGTTGACACTTACCCAGCACCGGTGGTGGAAAGGCAGAGAGGTGAATCAGGTGACCTGGACTGTCCTGCGAATTATTATTTGGAGATTGAGACTATGTGTCTGTGTGTCCTCTGTGCCTAACCCCTCCTCGTGACTGTTTTGAATTTACCAGTATGTGTCTTAAGCATGGCCGTGGTAATTCCTACTTGTAGCCACAGCACGTCTGTTTTGCAAAGCATATGGATCTTCCTTCAATCAGAAACTCAGAAAGTGTCGCCAGTGAACTCAACCTTGAACTGTCTGCTTCGCAGTTCTGCTCACAAGTCCCTCTGAGACCGTTGCTCTGTGAGGAAGCTAGTCTAAGGGAGTTGACACCCTTTCATTCCTCCAAGGTATCCCAGCTCTGGCCCTGTGTCGTCTGTGTCCAGGAAAACCCCACACCTGGAGCTCTTAGTTTAGCCCCCCAACTCCACATAGAGATATGCCTTCACTGAGTTAGACTTTAATGCAGTGCTCTTTTTTTAGTCATCATAAGAATAAGCCACATGAAGAACATCTTTGCATCTTCTGTGAAGTTGGTGCTAAAAAATTTGTTTTATTATTAAAAGGTTTTTTTAAAAAGATTTATTTATTTGAGAGAGCAAGAGAGAGAGCAGGGAGAGGAGCAGAAGGAGGGATGGAATGAGAGGGAGACAATCTCAAGGAGACTTCACACTTAGTGAGGAGCCCCACACAGGCCTTGAGCTCATGACCCATGAGATCATGACCTGAGTAAAAATCAAGAGACAGATGCTTAACTGACTGTACCACCCAGTTACCCCATGTTCAAAGGTTCTTATAACTGAACCAATGAGAAGAATTCTTTTTTACATTTTAGTATCTGGCAACCATTTGTCTTATTTAATAAATTAAGATATGCTTCCTTTCATCAGACAAACATAATTCAGTAAGCTGTGAGTTTTTCTTTTTTTTCTTAGCTACCAGGAAGTTCAAAGTTCAATTTAATGTTCAATCATAGTAACCAAGTCAGCCTGACTTTTGCTTTTCTATTTGTTTATTTACTCTAAGCTATCGCAAAGCCTTTATTTTGATATAGGTAGGATATGACTTATAATTGGATTCAATTTGTGTCAGCAACAATTTTTTGAGTATCTGATATGCACCTGACCTGGTGCTTAGTCCTGAACTGAGGTGAATGAAAGGTGGTCTCTGACCTTTAAGAGCTTATAGTTTTATGCAGAAAAATAAATCATTGCTATAGTATACCCTATATGGTGGGAGGTTGATTTTCTAGACCTATTCAGAGAACTTTAGTTTTCCTCTAATTTTGTTTAAGTAGACATAATTTTAGACATTGGCTGGTTTATAAGTTCTAATTTTAAACATATTTTAAAACCTAGAGATGGGGAAAAAAACCTCAGCTTGCATTGGAAAGCCAGATCATTATAACAGTAGAAGTAAATGAAGAGATATTCAAACTTAACCAAGGTTCTCTCCATTGAAGAAAAGATGAGCACATCCCGTTTATTTACTGTTGAACGGGAACAGGAATGTGACTAGCTTGCTTGCAAGCAAATGAGTCTTAAGATTCTTGAGTCTTGATTATGTTGACCTGGAGAGAGTGAATTACTTTTCAAGAATCTGAGGTATTGTCCTGGTCTCTTTGACATCTCAAGGCAAGGTTCTGATGCTGTAGAGCTTAGTTTCAATGGAAGTTCAATGAGCTTTCAATAGAAGTCCAGTAAACTCCCAAAGAAAGTTCAGTCCGTTGAATTTGGAGCTTTCGGCTAGCTAAGGCAAAAAGAGAAAAGTTCTTATAGAATTCTTTTTGTGTGAAGGAAGGAAGCAACATCCAAATTCATTAAATGAGGCAGTGTAAAACAAAGGCATTTAACATGAGAAACAACATGGTGTTGTCTCCCCCTTTGCTGGGTCAGATCCTTGAAGATAGCCAGGTATTAGTGTTTGTTAAGCCATCATGTGACCCAAGAGGTAAACTGTTTGAGGGTCCAGAGCAACTCTGTAAGTATTTAAAGCTTGCACTAAATCCTTTTTTTATAAAAGATTTTATTTGACAGAGAGAGAGACAGGGATCACAATTAGGCAGAGTAGCAGGCAGAGGGAGAGGGAGAAGGAGGCTCCTCCCTGAGCAGAGAGCCCAATGTGGGGCTCTGTCCTAGGACCCTGTGATTATGACCCAAATTGAAGGCAGATGCTTAATGACTGAGCCACCCAGGTTCCCCTGAAGCTTGTATTAAATTCTTACTGGGCCCTAAGCATTATAAAATCTCTTTGTTTTGAATTAAGGGACTGAATAGGAGGGAGACTGGGTTTGGCTGCTACCCAAATTGTTGGTCATGCACCATCTATCAAAGGAGACCACTCTAACCAGAGTGCATTCTGGCCTTGGCTGAAGAGTAATTTGTGCCATTAATATGGACAAACCTAGGGATTTTCAGGGAATAGAAGTGATCTCTACCTGTCTCTATCTATTAAATAGGCCTTTAAAATGTACTTCTGAAAATGGAGCAATTATTCAGCTGAGGTTTATATGGAATGTTAATTGTTTAATCACTGCTTTAGCACTAAGGTTGCATGTGATGCAATATCAGATGTTCTTGTGGATAAGAAAACTGAAACAGACATTTATTGGATTTCCAAATTCCCCACCCCCAACAGGACCCTCGTAGCAAATATTGAGTGTACTTTTTCGTAATTTCTGGAATCCTATTTCCCTCACAGCCCTTATTTCTTTGGAAATGTCTTATATGACTTCACACATGTTATGAGTTGGATACTGCTTATAATACATGGAGATCGTGTTAACAACAAGGCCAAGGTCACCAGTTTGATTCCTTCTCTGGTTGCTCCTTCTTGGTATCCTTTACCGGCTCCTCTTCTTCTCTTGGTCGCTTAAAGGTTGATGTTCCCCAGGGTTCCTCCTGAGCTTGATCTTCTCATTCTGTATTTTCTTTCTCTGGGTGATTTCATCCATTTCCAGCACTTCACCCTTCATTCATCTGCACACTTCCATCTTCACATACAGAGAACAGCACACAGCCAGACAACCTAGGTCTAGACTGAGATCCCAGCCTTGGATAGGCACACTCCCCACTGGATGTCAGGAGCTTGGGCTGGGTTAAGGGCGTGTAAGAGTTCTGAGAAGTTAAACATCTATCTACAGTGGATGCTGTGTCATTGGGGAAGTTGTCACTCCTTCCTGCGAATGGAGGGCATGCCTATGGTCCCAGAGACCTAGAGGCTACATAGGGTGGGTGTCTTACCCATCCGTTGGTCCTGCTACCACATGGCTCCATGGAAGCCAGTAACCTTGTCTCACTGCAACATCTTGGGCTAGAGTAGTACAGCCTAAGCACAAAGAAGTCCTTTGCCCTTCTGAATCCAACAGCTTGTTTTGAGAACACCTTTGGCAGGTACAAGGAATAATAATAAAAAGTCACTTTTAAAGATGAACAGCTGAGCTTTCGTCAAAGTCATTTCTTCTAAGTATATAGGTATCCACCATTTTCTAGTTATGAAAGCTGTGCTATCTGTATTACAGTAACCCATGCAGCAACTTAATTATTGGAAGAACAAGCACAGCCATTTTTAACAAGCTTAGTATTTCCTATGGGGGATGATATAGCCGGGTCTGTTGATCGTCCATAGAATGATTTAGTTGCCAACATCGCTTTGGAAATCTGGCTTTGTTTTCATTTACGTAAGCAATAGCTTAAAATTCTTGAATAAATTTTTCTAAATCATTGAAAAGACACAGGAGAGCTTGAGTCAGTGCTGATGAACAATTGCACCATTTCAAAGTAAACAAGTATGAGTCATCAATACGTAAACACAGATGCCCCAGAATATGTGGGCAGACACTAGTAATTTATACAGTCCTTTGATTAAAAGGAATTAGATTCGCTTTAGTCATGTTAGCTCAATTAGATGTTGAGCTTTTCTAAACCAATATATTCATGATTGCACAATTTCACTGACTTCCTGATCCAATGGGCTAAGCCTTTTTCATGGTATAATGTGGCACAAAGAGCTGACATGTCAAGAACAAATATAAGTTGAACATTCCATTACAATTCCAGTGATCACTAAGCTGAAGTTGTTCATCACAATATGGAATGTAACCGTTCAGCTCATCTGACCTAAAATAAGTTACATTGCTAATAAAATTTATAAGTGATGTAATTTAAAACTTTCTCCCAATGAACACATTTAAGGACAGGCCAGGGAGCCTACAGACGTTAAGCACACAGCTCATTCCAAGAGGCTCTTTCAATAGTGTTACTGATTTTTTTTTCTTACATAGCACATGAAAAGAATGAAATTATATGGCAGCATGAGAATTTTAAAGCACCCTATATGCTAGTCTACTTAGGACATCTGTTTGAAACATTAACATTAGGAAACACAAACCTATTCATTCTCTCTCCTCCCACCCCCATCTTTTTGTTATTTTAGACAAACAAAGGGGATGCACTTGCCAACCGAGTCCAGAACACGCTGGGAAACTATGATGAAATGAAGGATTTGCTAACTAACCATTCTAATCAGAATCATCTAGTGGGGATCCCAAAGAATTCTGTGCCCCAGACTCCCATCAACAAAAATGAACCAAGCTTTTTCCCAGAACAAAAGAACCGAATGCTCCCACCTCACCAGGATAGCACTCATCCCTCAGCACCAATGCCTCCACCTTCCGTCGTGATACTGAATTCCACTCTCATACACAGCAACAGGAAATCAAAAGCTGACTGGTCACGGGATAGTCATAATGCTAACATTGTCCCAGCCAACCAGGCCAGTGGTCAGCCAAACAAGCTGCCGCCGTCTACACAGGACCAACCCCCAGCCCGACTGGAAGACTTCTTTGTCTACCCAGCTGAACAGCCCCAGGTTGGAGCCACTGAAGAGTCAAACGTGTCTGCAAAGGAAGACAGTAGTCTCAAGTCCAGTGCAGGGGATACGTTCAAAGAAATCTTTCAGTCCATCTCATCAGAAGAATCTGAATTTACAGTGCAAGCTCCTGGGTCTCCCCTAGTTGCCTCCTCTTTATTAGCTCCCAGCAGTGGCCTTTCAGTTCAGAACTTTCCACCAGGGCTTTACTGCAAAACAAACATGGGGCAGCAAAAGCCAACTGCATATGTCAGACCCATGGATGGCCAGGATCAGGCACCAGACGTCCCTCCAACACTGAAACCTTCCATTGAATTTGAGAACGGCTTTGGGAATCTGTCATTTGGATCACTCTTGGACGGAAAACCCAGTGCAGCCAGTTCAAAGCCTAAACTGCCAAAGTTCACGATTCTCCAAACAAATGAAGTAAGTAATTTTTTAAAGTTTTGTTTTTGTTTGTTTGTTTGTTTCTTTCTTCTTCTTTTTTTTTTTTTTAGTTCACTGCTCTAACCTCTATGGTCAAGTATTGACAAGCAGCTCTTATTTACCTTCTTGAGCCAGAAATGAGACTCTTCAAGGTCAGTCTGTGTCCCGATCTTCTGTCGCTTGTGACTTGAGTGATTACCATTCTGCAAATACAGTTAAATCTCCATAATGTGGAATGGCCAAAGACAAGGTCAGTCTGAGTGAGTGAAAAGTTGCACTTACGAAAGAGTTTCAGAGAGTGCACTTGTAGTCATATGTACAAATTAATAACACTGGATATTGTAATCGGTCGTAAGAAGTGTGAGGTCCACAAAAAGATTGGGAGTCACCATAGGCCTTCACTAGCAAATAGCATCTCATAAGCATAAAACACAGAAGCTCCTTAAGGTACAAGAATGTGAAAGTGTGATTTGCTGGTATCAGAAGTGGAAGGCATTCTTTAAGAATCTTGGTTTCTTGAGTGCTTGTGGGGCCATTCCTTGGCAAGATCCTAATGTTACCTTCCATGTCCCTCAGTCTTCCCTTCTGTACCACTGTCTTCCACCTGTACCTCCATAGCCCTCTTACACTACCTTGATCCCTTCTGTCGAAGCCAAAGTCATTGTGCTCAACCACAATCCCCTTGGGTTTAGAATGACTAAATGTCCTACCCATCTCTGGAATCATTGCCTTATAAAAGAGAAGTCGGAGGGCCCCAAGCCTCTCCCAAAGGAATGAATCGCTAATGATTGGATCCCAGGCCTTGTGGCTGCTGGGTTGGGGACATATACTGGGTGCCACTAAGATGCCACCATGTAAGCGGCTGCCTGCAGCACCGCCAGCGCTTGATTGGAAGAAGCTACTGCTTTTAGATTAGATTCCTGTTACTGGTGCCTAAAGGCTTGAAAAGATGCAGAGGAAGAAAGTAGGTTGAAATTTTTGCTCAATAGGAGGCCCAGACAGTCGATGTGAATTGTTGCAGATTCCAAGTTAGTGGGGTCTGAATTAGAGAAGTCTGACCATGTGCACCTCTGGCTCTTGCGCCGTTACTCATTACTCGTATTCAGCACACACGGTGATTGCAGAGGACAATGGGACCATGAAGTGGGAAGGAGGAGTGGGGCTGTGGATTGTATTTTTGGAATGCATGCTTTTCATATCGTTTCAACCCTGAGGCGGTTTTGCTTCTTGTATCATCATTCATCAAGTCTTGTCAAGCTTCCTCCTAAGTATCTCTCCAGCCTGTCAGCTCTTTACCCTCCCTGCCTTCAGAGTGCCCATGGGCCCCTGTGACGGCCCCTCCTTGCTGCTCTCCTTCCCTCTGGTCTCACCTCTCTTCCAAACCATCCTCCATCTGGGCTGACTTCATGGGCACATCCAGCCATGTCACTCCCTGCTTTGGATTCTTTTGTGCCTTCTCATTGCTTCCAGGACAAGGTCCAGATTTCTTAGTCCCGCATACAAAGCTCTTCACTCTGATTCCATGCTCCTTCTCTGACTTCCCATTTTACCATGTCTTCACATGCAGACGAAGTCTCAGCATCGTGGAGCTACCTGTGGTTTCCGGTCATGTCATGCGTTATCACACTTCCTTGCTTTTGTGCCTGCTGTTCTCTCTCCTAGAATGTCTTTCCCTACCCTCCCTTGTCTTCTGGTGAAATCCTGTTCCTCCTTCAAGTCTGCTTGATTATTCCTTTCTCTGTGAAATCTTCCTTGACTCCACAGGCTTACTGCAGCCTGCTTCCTCTGGGCTCCTCTAACACTTTACATACAACTTGACTAGCACTTTTCTTCATGTACTGTAGTCACTCATGTCATGTGTCTATCTCCTCTATTAGACTGTGAGCTCCTGGAGAGCAAGGGTTGTCTCCTTCCTCTCTGTATCCCGAGCGCCTAGCAAATGCCTGGCACATAGTAGATACTTAATAAATGTTTGTTAAATGAATGAATTTCAGAAATGGTTACTTGAGTACATTTTCTAAGCCATGGCATTAATCAACTAATATGAACCAAGGGAAACAAATACTAGCAAATCCATCATCAGTTTTATCTCTTGAATGGTACCCTGTCTGCCTATGTCTTACTCTGCTCTGCTCCTACACAGTTGTTTGGAAGTCCTCATCCTAATTTCTAGGGGATGACTTCATATGGGATCATAATGCTTAAGATCCAAACAGAAGCCTGCCTTGAGAGAGGAGTATAATGAGAGGCTTCTTGTCCCTTTTCTTGCCCTGATATCTACGGCAGTGCCATCACTCAGGGCTGGTCTGGGAATGGCACTGGTGCATCAAGAGGCCCATCAGCTTGTGTCCATACCTCGTTAGCCAAGTGACAGGTCACAGACCCAGTGAGATTCACTCCATTGTAATCTTCTCTCTTGTACATTCACAACATGGCTGACCCAGACTCAGAAATGACTTCATGCTTTTTTTTTTTTTTCCCCTCAGTGCTTTGGCACACCAATGAGAGGGGCATGTCCAAAGAGAGTCTGAGCTGTCTTCAGCTCTGGACATGATGATCCGAGGAGCTGCTATGTGCACTCAGCCTTTGGTGATGGTACAAATAGATTTTGGTAGAGCCTTGTATGAAAAATGGGTCAGGTCCAATAAAGTAATGATGAGAGATCAGTGGAGAAGATACTTATTTTAAAACCTAGGTCTCAAGGAAGGATTTGAAAAAGGGGTGAGACAGAGGCTTAGGGCCCTAAAGTCAGGAGAACATACTGGCTTCAAGAATAGTGGGAAACTGAGGATAGGACGAAAGGCAGTAAGAGGTCCAACAGCCTGCCCGGGAGCTTACAAGGGTGTAAATTCAAACATGGGCATAAATATAGACAGGGTGGAACATTATGGAGCTTTGTACCTAATAGATTGTATGTGGCTGAAACTCCGACAAGTCTGAAAATTCACCCTATCAAATCTGGATGCACTTTTCAAAAGCACTCAGCATGAGAATTCAGCCCCAGTCTTTGGTGCCAAGAGGTCCAGGCATTGGGATCTGGGTCTCCAGTCAAAGTAGCCATCATTGATGAGTGGTAGCGTTATTCCTTGGAGTTACTGCTAAAAGGGTTTGTCCAGAAAGCAGTCACAGGGTCTCTCTGAATACTCCCCACTCTGTCCCTGGATCTAGGGAAAGAGGCTGTTCCATGTATTAGTGAAGTGCTTTTGGGAGCAGAGGGGCAAAGTGGGGTGGGTGGGGTTTGAACACCAGGAAACACAGCATTCTACGATGTACAAATAAACAGATAGGAATATACTTGTGAGTTGAGGGACAAAAACCATTACTGAAATGGAATGAGCCTGTGTGTGTATGTTTGCTTGTGTGTCTATGGTCGTGTATATAGTGGGGAAATTTTAATTTCGGCCCATCCTCAAAATAGTCCCTTGGGGTGGATTTCTCTATCAATGATAAGGATTCTAGGAGTCTAAGCAACTTTATTGCAAAAGGTCAGCATTTCAATTGAAGTATGATTTTGGAACAAAGTAATTTGTTTAAAGACTTAGTTTTACAGAATTTACTAACATTCCAGGCAACTCCCCATCCCCAACCCGCCAAAAAAGACTGATATGTTCTGCAGTTGAGCTTAGGAGAATTTTCTGGGAACTGCATCTGAAAACAGTAAAAGACTGATATATATCAAATGGAAACTGGGGGTAGCTTGCAGATGGTATTTTATTAGGAAATGAATTTGTTATTAAATGTAGATTTATGTGTGATTTCATGACGTATGTTTTTGCTTACGTTTCTTATTAGGATAAAAATCTTTTGGTGTGGCTAGCTTTGCATTTGGGTGCAATTCGTCGGTAGCCTGGTTTGGGAAGTGAATAATTGCATGGAAATGAAAGGATCGATGACAGGTAGTATTTCCATCCTAGGTCAATAAGCTTTCATAAGTACAGTACTAATGGGTAGAGTGCCATCACCATAAAGGTTTATTTTCCTTACAAGCTGCTCTTGGCTGTGACCTAAGGCCATCCAAGGCTCTGAATGCCTCAACATTAGGAGGCTCTTAGAAGAGTTTAATGGAACTGATACGAACGATGGGATCTGGCTTTAGCTAATTTTAGTGGCTGGCTTTGTCAACCAGCTAAAAAGTTATGGCCCACATTTGTGACTGTGCCCGTTTTGGTTTGTATCCTATGCAGTGAACACCATGGGTATAATTACCTTTATTTATTATGAGGTAGATAGGAAGCTCAAGTCCCTTGTGTGAGAACTGCAGAAAACGCTGGGAACTTAGCATTTGTGTGCTGAGTATGCACGGGCATCTCCGCAGAAACCACACAGACCGCTCTTTCAAAGAATGGTGGATCACCAGCTGCTGTGTGCGACCGCTATGATCATTTTCCACTTGATGTACCTCACAAGTTTATTTAATTTTTTGGCTCATTCTTACAGAAATGAACTAGTATCCAGTCCAAAGCTAAGACAGGTCTTATTCTCACCGTGTTGGAAATGAATGAATATCCCTCTGGAAGTCCTCCCCCTTTCGGGGTGCCCCAGAGGCCTTGACCTTGGCACATATTTCCTCTGGAAAGGGAAGCCGGGAATGCAGATAGGTCATGGAGCCTTGTGTTGTTTGTGATGGTGAGGTCAGAGGTGCTGCGTGATTAGTAAGAGTGTCTTGCTCTGGAGACATCAGCTTTTCCTCTCCATGCTTTCCCCAGGCTCTTTATGGTTCTCAGCCATGTTCTTCTTCCTTGGTGCCCCCACTCCGCACTGTCCCTTGCCCTCCATTTGCTCATCAGCACTAGGCCAACTGAGGTCTAGAGCTCAGCTTGGGCTTAGGAAAGATCGTGAAGATCCCCAGTTATGTTTTGTTTTGGGTTTTTTTTTTTCCCCTTCTCATTTCCTCAAGTTCTGTTCGGTAGCATCTGTATTTCCTTTTCTAAGGCTGTATGTGAGTGATTCTTGCCCTTGGCATTCTGGAACAATATATGCTATTTTTTGGTGTTCTGTGATTTTAAATCCCTTGTCACTTTGAACATTCTTTTGGTTGGAAAGAAGCCAAAAGATTGACTTATTTTTATTCCACAAGGAAAAACTAAAACCCTTTAATTCCTATACCATGCAAATTTTAGTCCTCTTTTAAAATCACACATTTTAAAACATCACCATGTATTCATCATTTCGGTACATCTCTAGAAGAGAGCTGAAAGCCAATCTTATGTGAAGAAGCACGTGCTGTAGTAGCAAACAGGGTTTAGATGAGGTCCTACTGAGCTGTGGTTTCCAAATCTGGCCTTTACTTGCTCTGTGAACTTGAGAGTGATTTTGGCTCTTGTTTTGTGGGGATTTCACACTAGCTCACCAATGCGGTTTCTTCCAGCTGTCCATCCCTGAGGGTGATGGGCCCAAACCTGCCTTGTTTGTGAAGTGACTGCAGCGGTCCCCTTGTCATCCAGACCCCACCAAGAATCTGGGGACAGTGTGGAGGGATGTGATCTCTGCCTGCACCATCCCCTTACTGCCACCCCTCAGAACAGCTGGGGAAATTTTAAGACAAGGTAACTAAGGGGAAACTAGAATTGGATCCTCTTTGGGGATTGGATACTAGTTCGGCCCAGATTCAACTCATTTTTTAAAAAAAGATAAACAGTTATCTGCTATACTTCACCGGAAAACACCAAGCTGTGAACTCAGGAAATAGTCTGCTAATCCCTTTGTCGCCACCCACTCACATCATGAAAGATGGAGAACTTCTATTTTCACATTAATTCTCGGAAAATATTTTGACAGATTCAGTACGCAGTAAAGTGATAAGCTTTTGTTACGTGTGTTCCAAATCATCCTGTTATCACTGGATATATCGATTAGCTTAGTACATTCTGAGCCAGTCATAAAAACAGGCTGCTCACATTTTGTGTTAAAGAATAAGAAAAATTGGCAAGTAGATAACCATATTGATTCAACCCAAATAGTGAATGCAAAGGGCTTTAGAGAGGAGTTATAAACTCATTATGGCTCTTGTAAGTCTCTTTAGTATTTTTTAATTGATGTGAAAACAAATAATCTTTAATTAACTATCTTTTTAAGAAGTACCATGCTTTGATTACCAAATGGAGTTTATAATATAAGTGACTATAATAAAAAACCTCTCCCTTTTCTACTTTATAATTTACAAATGCTTTCACATACATTATCTTATTTTCCCCCACCTGTATTGAGGTGTGATTGACAAGTAATAATTGTGTATGTTTGAGGTATTCAAGATGTTTTGACATACATGAAAATTATGAAATCATTTCTATGATCAAACAAATTAACATATCCATCACCTCATATAGCTGCTGTTTTGGGAGTGCGTGGTGAGAACACTTAAGGTTTACTCTCTTTGCCAATTTCAAGTATACAGTACAGTATTGCTAACCATAGTCACCATGCTGTACCGTAGATCTCTAGAACTTAGTTATCTTGTGTAACCGGAACTTTGTGCTGCTTGACCAACATCTCCTCCTTTTCCCCTCCCTGTAGCCATCTTATTTGGATACTATTCTAAGAGAGTCCAGGATTATCATTATCCCCTTTTCATAGATAAGAAGTGTAGTCTGAGAGAGACTTAAGTTTTTTGTGTAAAGTCACACAGCGAGCAAGGGACTCTTCAGGGACTAGAAGCCAGGTCTTCGGTGCCATTTCCTTGATGGCATTTGGTGCCCAGGATGCTACTGTATATATATGGGTTAATTCTCTCAAAGTAGCTTCTCTGCTGGCACGTAAGGGGCAAGAGAATAATGAGCTGAATCTAGCTTAAGCTGAAATTCTCTTGCTGGATTCATATTTCAAAAGTCTGGGGCCAAGCATACCAAAAGAGCAATTTTTCTTGTGGTATTACAGGTTACAGTCATGTGTTTTTCATTTGCAAATATGGTGAGAAGTAGTGTTTTTGCAATATTCCTAAATGAGTAACATATGACACAACTTGTTAGAGGATCTTTTCTTGGTTCATAAATTTTCTGAGTTTTTGCCCATTTGGTAAGATGACTTTAGCAGAGTGCTCAGAGAGCATAGCTCAAATTTGGATTTCTGGGACTGAAACTCAACCACTGTGGAGCTAAACCTGACATGTGAATGAGAGGTCGGTAAAAAGCAGGCATGAACATGATTGCTGTAAAAGGTACAAGTAAGACTTCTCTCAAGTGCTTGACTAACCTCCCCCACCTGCACCAAGTAGACTGATGGAAAAAGCTTACAGATCATCAAATTGCAAGAGTAGTTAACAAAGGACAGACAGGATCCCTGGCTTGTATTTGTAGGTACTACGAGGGTGAGTCTCCCTGGATGTCTGCATAAGAATGCAGGTCAGCCATGGACGCCTGCCCAGAAAGTGACTGTGGGCTTAAGCGAGCTACATAACTCTGAAAGGTCTTTGAAAATGTGTAAGACTCTGGAAATGGATGATATATTAGCTTTCTGGAGATGCCCTAACAAAGTATCATAAACTGGATGGCTTAAAATAACAGAAGTATGTTCTCACATGGTTATGGAGGCTAGAGATGCACAAAGGTAAAGGCAGGCTTGAACTGCCCCCACTTGCTCTACAGGCAAATCTTTTCTTGCCTCTTCTAGCTTCCAGGCGACCCTTGGCTTATAGCAGCATCACTACCATCTCTGTCTTTCCCATCACCCATCTTCTCCTTTGTAGGTCTCTCTGTGTCCTCTCCTCTTCTTGTAAGGACTTGGGTCATCAGATTTAGGGCCCACTCAGTATCCAAGACAATTTAATGTCTGCAAAGACCAGATTTCCAAACAGCCACCCTCTGAGGTTCTGGGTAGACGTGAATTTTGGGGGCCACTAGTCAACCCACTATGAGAGGGGTCATTCCTTCACTTCCCAGACCAGGAATAGAGGGAGGCCAGGCAGCGTTCATTGTGAAAAACGCAAGCTGGTACAGTGGAGGCTGAGGACTACCCCATCTCAGAAGCCACTTCAGGTTTGGAGCCTAGTTCTCTAAGCTCTTCACCTTGACTGCCTATTAGCGAGATCATTTTTGTGGATGCATGATTAAAGTACAACTGTGGAAAAGTGATTTTTAAAAATATTTTAGGATAGTAAGAATAAAGGTGGTTTTTTTTCTGATTAAGGGATAGAGAAGAAAGAATTTGTCGATGCAATGGACTCAATTATGAAGGAGAGCTTCGGTGGTCAGGCTTATTCTGTGAAATAAATATTTGCCATTGTGTGGGCCATCCGGCCGGTGTCAGGTACTCCACTCTGCCACTGTCATGTGAGAACAGCCAGAGATGGTACCTGAACGAATGGGCATGGTTGTGTGCCAGTGAACTTACATTTGAATACCGAAACTCCAATACCATGTATTCCCATGGGTCGTGAGATGTTCTTTTGATTTCTTTCAACCATCTTGGAGCATATGAGCCATACATTAGCTTATGAGCCATACAAAACCAGGCAGTGGGCTGGATCCAACTTAGAGAACGTAGTATGCTGACCCCTGGACCAGATCTAGACAAAGCCTCAGAAAGCAAGATACATTTGGTATCCTTTGTGTGTCATCAACAGGAAGATGGCTTTGAGCAGAGAAGGGAGAAAGGTCAGCCCTGCAGCAGGTAGAGGGCAGGATCCTAGAGACAGGAGAGATGTCAGTAGTCAAGGTAGAGCTGGCCCCTGGAGTAGAGACTTCATTAGGTCTTATACAGGTGGATAAGAAAGCTCTGCATGCAGAATCAGAAATACCTTTCACACTACAAATCACATCACCATTCAGGAGGGTTCTTTTTCCTTGATAACTCATGAGGTGATGATGATTTGTCTTTTGCTGTCTTAGAATGGGAGTGCCTAGGTTCCTGGGGCACTGAAGTATGGATTTGAATTGAGTGTGGGGTGATAGGATTTTTTTTTTTTTTTAGATCCCAGGAAGAGCAAGTCATCCTGCACAGTCTGAGACTTTGTCTTCAATGGGACAAAAGGACCAGTGGTCTGTGGCAGTCTGCATGGGCTCTTTGGGGCTGATATGTGGGGGTGGGGCATTTGTACACGTATCTCCCTGAGAGGCCTGAGAAGCCGGTGGTCTTCTAGGGTAGTATCTAGGCTCTGAACAGCTGCTAGGAGAAAGGATCTGTCTTCTCAAGGCTTTAAAGATGAAATGAAGTTGAGCTAAGGCTTCAAAAAATTAATATATGTGGGTTGATGGAAAGAAGGGAGAGAGATCTTAGCCCGATCAAATGAACTAAAATAAAGCCTTAGAAGTTGGTGGAGTTTCAAGGGCCATGCTCCTGTGATGGAGGGATGCCACGATAGCTCGCTGCTTGAAGTATGTACCGTAGAAGAATTGTTACAACTGTGTCGTAATTTTATTAATGAGGTCGGGGGTGGCCAAGGCAGCTGCCATCTTGTACAGTCTCGGGAGTCACCATTCACATAGGCTACACATGTGAACAATGACTCCTGAAGCTGCTTTTAAGGAAATGGTGCTGGCTTTAGAGCAAACCTGCAGCTGGACCTCCCTTTGCCTGTCAGCATCTAATTCATCCAGATCTTCAGGCAAACTTACCAGTGAAGCTGGCCTCCTCTGGGATACCCAGAAATGCCCTCCCAGGGACCCACTGGAGACACAGACCAGGATGCTTACGCTGAGTAGGGTCTCACCAAGCGTACCTACATAGAGTCTCTCTGCAGCTCTGCTTGATTTGCTTGAACAAATGTGATCTTCAGATCTTCGGGATGATGAATAAATCTAACATCCTCCCAGGCAAGATTAATGGGTAAAGAAGATCCATGTTAGAGAATTCAATTTGAATCCACAATCCACCTATTATAAATCTCAAAGGAAATGGTCTTGTTGGATATGTGAGCACAACATTTGGCCCAAGAAGGACATTAAAAAAAAGTGTAATATTTTGAGTTGTTCACATTGAGTCTGATATTATGAATTGTGATATGTTAAATCTGAAAATATTGTCATCTACATCATTGGAAAGGTCTGTTAGAATGTCTATAAGACATTTTATTTTATCTGTTTGTTTTATTCATTCAATGATTCGACAGACTTTTATTGAGTACCCATTGTGTGCTGGGCGCTATGCCAGGAGCTTGAAGGCCGAGATGATGAAGACATGTTGCCTGATCTTAAGTAGTTTAAGTGAGGGGATGTGGACACAAAAACAGAAAAGTCACAGTGAAATATAATAGATGGTTGTTGAGTATTCTTTGGGAGTGGAGAGAATGGTTAAGACTGTCTGAAGTGTTCAGGAAAGCCTCTTCAAGAAGGTAGAAACTGGTGTGCTGGCTCTTGAAAGCATGATTGGAAGTTGTCTTGGTGAAGTGGTGGTAAGAACATTTCCTACAATGTCAGCCTACATCAGGCTGTAAATGGGACTGGTGATTCCTGAGAGGCAAAATAATCCACTCTGTTTGGGGAGTTTGGGTAGAAGATTGGTTGGGAGAATTGGGGTCTTAGTGTCAGCCCTAGGTGTTGAAGAGCCTTTTAATGCTCTAAGCATGGCAGGTGGTGTTTTAGATAAGTCATGCCAGAGGAGGGATTGGC